GACTGTCCAACTAAACGGGACAGTAAGAACTTGTCTCTGCCTACGCTCTCAGTGATTGTAGCTCAGATGAAGTTAGAGATAAATTTTATAGGAAGTTAACCAACTTCCATCAAAAAGCTAGACTCTCTAGTATAGTACTATTCGCCGGTGATTTTAATACTCAAGTAGGTAACCTAAACCAAATTTAAAAACCCTTAGATTTTGAAGCTAAGCGAACAGACAATGAAGACCGTCTGTTGCAACTATACCCAGATCCTAATGTATTTCTAACAAATGCCAAATTTTAACATACTAAAAAACATCGTCTGACTTAGTGACTGCCACAATCTACTCATCGATAGACTATAGGAGGTCACATTGCTATTAGCCATCGTTTGAGGGGTTCTATTGAAGACTCGCTCATTCTGGATTACATGTTTAGACTTGTACCCTGCTCCAGTTCCAGCACGTATTTGTTTGCATCTTAATGGACGTTAATAAGTTACAACAAGAATACCTCTTAAATTTAACTTCATTATAAAGCAGTTAAAATTATATTTCAGGAGTAACTAGAGATAGAGTTAATCAACTGTGAAAGTATGTACAATGTATATATCTTTATATATAGTTGAAATCATAAGTCAATTGAAGCTAGACTACCATGATAAACCTGAAAGGATTGGACGGCCGTTTGATCCTATTGTAGAACTCCTCAACATCTTTAGTTTATTGTACAGACATCCCTCTTACTCCATAAATGATATAAGTTCATATGATTCCAATTTAATTATTATTATTTTTTTTTTCCAATCGAAATTTTATCTGATCATTATAGAGATGCCAGAATGAATGTAAACGAAATTTTAATGTTGTTGTCGTTTTTTTTTTCAAAGAAAAAAAAAGTTTATTTTTATCTTATATCGTTAGGAATGTAACTATGATCATATGATCTAGTCTCCCTCGCTCACTCTCTCCCTCCATCTCTTACTCCCTCTTTTTTTTCTAGTTTTCATTTATCATTTCAGTAGCCAAGATCTTATTTAACAACATAGATACATACATACATACACACACACACACACAAACACATACATGTAAAACTATAACAATACTCATTTATTATTATATTGTTACCAAGAGTAATCAATAAATGAATTAAAAGAATTAACAGATGTAACTATGTCTATTCTTTTATAGTTTCTAAGATAACATGGAAATGAATGTTTTATTGATTAATTCATGATATATCTTTTATTATTAGATAATAAGTTAACTGTATTATAGACTGAAATTGTTTCCATGATATATATTGAATAAATATAATTCTTACTTTGTATTGAGGTTGATACTAACAACAAATAATGATTTCAACTATGAAAATACTGAATTTTCCAGAAAAATCCCCTCTGATTTATAATCATATGCTCACTAGTGACTAATTTCAAGAGATATTTTTTTGAGTTCTAGTGAGGAACAGTGACCAGTGGAGTTCTATCAAGTCTGTTGTAGAGATATTATATCTCATAATAGGACGAAACAGCCGTTCAGTGCTTCCAGGTTTTTGATGGTGGTCTAGATTTAATTGACTCATGATTTCATAAGTGAAAATAATGAATGATCGTCAGTTAAAAGCTAAGAGTTCAGGAATTGATATCCAAATAATGTACATCCTTTCGATGTATATCACGTACCTCCAAATGCCCTGATACGGCTGAGAGTCTGCTCTCCCTCTTGAAATATTCTCATATGGCCACGTGTATATAGCCTCTGTCAGGGAAGTCTTATTCACTGACTTCTCACACCACGGGGATGTTGTTTACGAAATTGAGAAGATGAAAAGCGAATGTATGGCGCTTAACTGGGTTGGTGGATATGGATGATCCACCTAGGGGAGATAGAAGACCCTGATTCCAAACCAATAGTACACATGAGCTGGCTCCAGTATCCTGAGGTAACAAATGGCGTATAAAATCAATCGTCGGTCACCGACTACCGTGGGACTGAATCTCCTCACGATGCTCCTCTGCCCTGTGGATAGGATCTTTAGATCAAAGGCTTGGGGTGTGGCCCCCTAAGAAAATCACCTGCTTCGGTCTGGGCACCTGGCAAGTATCACAGTCCTCACACAAATCAAATAAGATTTGTGTGGCGCATATTTATCTGGTGCTCTCTTATACCAATATTTATGTGTTTAAATTAATAAATAAACCTGCTATCCGCCACGATATCTTTGATTGTAATTTTTTTGTAACTTGTATGGCCGAAGGTTGTACACTTTTCATAAACGCATCTTAAAAGATTGTACGATTCACTGAAAAAACCAGATAACTTAACGAAATATCGAGATTGTAGGGAGGAATAAGTAACCCAGATATTCAAACAGGTTACCAACATAATAAGTTATAAAAATAAAATGATGACTGGGAGAATATTTGAGTTTTTGTCGAACCCAGTACCTTTCACTTCAAACGCCATTGCGTTATCCACTTAGCTACTGAGTCCTGATAGCCACTTGCTTGTGCAATGGGGTGAAGTGAATTTTATTATATTCGTTTTTTTCTTCCTACATTATATGACTACACTTCAATTTCCTGTTCATAGCATTAAGTTTGACCAGAAATATCTAGAAAGTGGAGGGTCACATGATGCATTTCTGATTGAATGATTACTTCTACTTTTACTATGTTTAGTAGTGTTCCAGAAATTTCCGGAGACCCAAGGCCATTTAATAAACTATAAATACCTTAGATTTTCTGTGCATAAACGAACCTTTGTAGTAAAGCATTTCTTCCATATTTCGTATCTTTTCTATCGTGTTCAAGATGCTGTGTAGATCTAGCCTGGAGGTTATTAGAGAGCTTAGGAAACTGAATCTAGCGTCCAATCAGAAGGCTTAATATAAATATAAATAACACATTACTTGAACAGTGAAATATGACAAAGGGATCTTAGATTCATGAAGTGAATGGTTTTTCTTCTTTATTTAGATACCTTATATAATGTTAGGTGCTTGTAGAAAATCTGGAACTTATGAACAAATGCGTTTAGAGTAAATTACTTAAGTAATAAAGCTTTATAAGCGAAGATGGATATTGGCTAGGAGTGGAATCCAGAACGAGATCCTAGAGTCCTAGCTAATGAAACTTGTTGCTCCATTTGACATACGGTTTGAACATTAAGCTCCAACCTGGATAGTGAGGATAAAGAAAAAGCCACAGAAGAGGGGTTGATAGTAAAGATACAGATACCAGGAAATGAAGAAGGAATTTGTTTGTGAACAACATACTTTCGAGTGCTTTTTAGAGATGTAAAGATGGTTGTTACTTCCTGGTCATCTGAAGATTATGAGACTTACTGAGGTACGTGAACTGGATCACTGCTCCAACTTTTTCGAAATGTTTGACACCTATACGCATATTCAAATAGCCTAAAGGAACTGTCGTTCGAGCTAATATAGTTCAATTGGATTGTTACAATTTGCAAACCTGATCACTTCATCCAGGTATTAGCTACCGCTGGGTTATTAGATCATACTTAGAAATAATTATTTCAGTTAGCGGTGCAACTGGTGTATCTTACGCTGAAATGAAAAAAACAGATGAATAGTCGAGAGGTCAACCGGGCTCCCAGAGAATCGCTCCCAAATAATGATGTGGAAAAACAGGTGGACGAACCCTATTCCCTCATAAGCAAGGGCGTGTCTTAAACCAATTCCCAGTTCAATAGAAAAAACCATCGTTAAGCGACGACAAATAGTTTTCAAGTAATAAGTCAGCAGTAGGAGGATGGTTGACTTATCACAAATTAACAACCAATTACATGTTTGCAAAGACGAAACAACTGCAAATATTTCTAATTTAATGTATTCAAAATCAGAAACGAATGAGAGCAATATAGAGAAGGCAGCTCATTCCCACGAATTCTGTAGTGATCGAAAAGAATATCACCTTTCATAATATGACGGCGATTATCAATCACAAATGCTGAGAAATGAGAATTTGGTCGAATAAAACTTCGAAAGTCTAGGGAAATTATGTTTCTTGAGGTTCCAATACCACGTCATGGAGGTAAAACGGGGGACAGTAAAACGTAACTGACTTATAGACCTCAATGCTATTGGTTGATGAATGATCTAAAACTTGGTCTTTCGAACTGGAAGTCTCCAAATTACTATTATCTGATCATACGCCTTTTCGAAACACCACCCGTGCATGTTGAAACAACCGAGTGCCGAATACTCTGATTAGAATCTTAGTACGACTCAAACATGACGTAGTTTAACAAGGCTGTAGATCCTTACAAAATGAAGAGGTTAGTAAATATGCATATAATCAACGGTTGATTTTATGGGACATGGGTTTAAAATCGGTCGCAATAGCGCAGGTTCAAGTAGATTGCAGTCTCATAATCTGGTTCTCAACCATTAGTTGGTACTTTGTATCATGTGGTTCAACCCAGTGGTCTAATTATCTAGTGTAATATCGTACTATCCAATTTTAAATAAAAATCTTGAAATTCCCTGTTCTATTTAGTCCTTCATACTAAAACCGACAATTCCGTTGTCTCTACTCATTTATTATTCATTTTGCTGAGTTAAAAATTCTGATAAGCAGACTTTTGCAAGCTTTAAGAAAAGTATACCATTCGTCTGAACATTGTCTCTATTGGGCCTTTGGTGCATAGCTAGTTGTGTAAAGGCAAAGCCTACACTCTGAGCCAAATCAATGTGCATATATATCGATTTATATGACTATGTGGAGCAGGTGACCATGATCACATAAAGCGAATTCTTTCAAAGCCCACCTCCGAACATTATACTCAGTTTATTGATTACTATCTCTCACGTTCAAAGCCACATTTAGCTTGATCTTGTACAAATATTATTTTCTATTTTATGGTGTGATGTGGTCTGTCTGTCTGTCTGGTATATAAACGAAGTATGCTTGAAATAAACGATTCGCATAACAGAAGCTGTCATTGGTATTCTGGACTCAAGTGGAAGGGCTAAGCGAATAAAGGACCATTAAGGACGCTAGATTATTCATACTAATCGAACGTCATTGATTGTCACACTGTTAAGGTCGGAAAAGTTGTACACCACACTACTACTACTACTACTGTTTTCTTAGAAAATAAATATGATTGTACACCTTAAATCAATGTAATTATCAAAAAAAAAAGAAAAATTCTCTTTGTTGATAATTATCTTTATTCTTTTCTTTTCTTTTTTCTTTTATTCATTTTAAAATAATATGAAGTGTACATAAAGAAGATAAATGACAAATAAAAGAGACAATGAGATGAAGTGATACAGTTTACAGTATACATTCAAATGTAAGAAATATGCCAAAAAGGAGATAAAGTAATGTCAACATCGGGAGAATACTTGTACAATGACACTAATGATAATAAGTAATAATAATAATAATAATAGATTTAATATCTGTTATCGATCAATGACATTTTTTTTTTATATTTTATAATAATTGACATCGTTCCGATTGTGATTTGATATGACGAAGACGTTTCTTTGGATGGAAATTTTTTAAATATTGAACTTGACGAGCATTTAAAGCACCATTTCTTTGTCTAAAAATAGAAAGAAAGAAAAATGTGTAAAATAAATGGAAACGGTCAATTTAAGTTTAGTCAGTCAGTCAGTTACAACATAGAACTTCGTACGTACGTACGTACATCAGTTCGAGTTGCCATACCACATTAACACAAAGATGCAGTTGTTGATTCAAATCCCATAGTGGTAGAAGTAGTAAGAGTATAAGCAGTAGGGTTTGAGAATGTTATTCAAGAAGTATAATTCAGTGAAATAAATTTGGAGAAAGAAAAAAGATACAGACATAAAGAATTCAAAAGATTAGACTTTGGGAGAACACAAAGAGCGGATGCAAACGATTTTGAGCCATGTCATTCAAGGTCTCTAACCATCGGCTGCTATCACCTCGTGGTTCCCAACCAGGTATTCTACACCTACCAACATGGCTCAGTCCACTTGGCATATTTTAACTGATATTGTCTGCTGGTGAATATACGTAACATAGGACCCGGAATAAATGTGTATTGGTTTACGTTATTACACACAATTAGCACAGCGCGATGGGATGGTTAAGGTAGTATCAAAAGTAGTAGAGGCAGTAAAAGTATTAGTGGAATTACAAAAGATTAGATATCGAGGATACGGCATGAGAAGAAAATATGCATTAGCGGAATAAACGAACATTGATAAGGTGATTTGGAAACTGCCCTCAAATGCCCTGGTATGGCCGGGGATCGGGGGAAAGTCAGCTCTCCTTCTACAAACGCTTTCACATGGTTACGAGTATACATTCACTGTCAAGGGAGTCCTGCTCACTCCTTTCTCTCAACGGGGGTGTTGTTTACGAAATCGAGAAGACGAAAAGCGAATGTTTCTAGCTTTAACCCGGTTGGTGCATATGGAGGATCCACCTAGGGGAGTCGGAAAACTATGATTCCAAACCAATGATACATATGGGTCCCAGAATCCTGAGGGAATAAATGAAATATGAACCCATTGTTGTTTAACAACTACCACTGCATTGCATCATCTTACGTTACTCCACTGCCTTGTGGTTTAGACCTCTAGGTTAAAGGCTCGGGAAGTGGCTCCTTAAGAAAACCAGTTGCTTCGATTTTGGAGCCCGAGAAGTATTTTATCCCTCAAACATATTGAATGATTTGTGTGGCGCATATGCATATGGTGCCTTATTGTACCAATTTTTATGTGTTTGAACAATAATAATAATTTAGAAACTAAGATTTTAAGCGAAGATAAATAGTGAATATATCCGCACCATTGTGAACGTTTTTAAGCTATATCTCACAAAGTCTCCAAGCATTGGTTACAATAAACACCCGGACCCAGTGGTCAACACCTACTTACAAGACTTAATTCGACAAACGGTGTGATGAATAGAGCCGAAATCTGTGAATAAATGAAGATAACTAGATTGTTTCTTGGTTAATTTGAAGAGAATAGTATGTATTCTGACGTCATTTATATGAGAGAACTATATATATTTACAATTAACTAATCATCGAGTAGTAGCCAATGTTGTTTGTGAAGTCCTTTTTTTAGTGCTGATCGAATTCTATCAATCAAGTTGTAATGTAGCCACCAGTCTAAGTGACTGGATGTTGCATGCCATATGCTGAGATGTAAGGTGGTAGTTAGAGGAAGCCACTAATCTGAGTGGCTATACTGCAACTTGACCCATAAAACTGGATTAATATTAAGAAGGAATTGACAAATATGGTATTAGTTACTGTTCCGTAATCAATGACTATAAATACATCTCAGTCCTATAGGATATCAGTCACGCAGCCCTAATAGCTTAGTGGTAACGTCTATGACTGTGATGCTAGGCGAAACAAGGTCGAAGTCACTAGGAAGCATCAGTCTCCTGAAAGTTGATGACGAGTGCCAACTAGCACGAAACCTAGATGATGTTAGATTATCTTGTCGTTAATCTCTAACCATCACTTTGCAGAGACATATATGTAAATGACACTGATCAGTTATGAAAAAAATAGCAGACTAAACTTAATCCTACAGGAGTTCAGCAAATGTCTCCAACGTAATACATTCATGGGATAATTTCGAAACAAACTTAAAATCTCGCTTTTCCAATGTTTTACAGAAAGAAATAAACACCGGACAGATCTCTAAATAATTCAGTCTATAGAGAAAAACAACTTGGAATAAGCTGCAGTAATACAAACTTCTGCAGTCGTGTGTGATTGAACAGAATAAAAAGAAAAAAACACTGATTTCTTCTTCATCCTCAACAGTTAAACGAATATAGATTGAGATAATCGATAATCAATGAAATAAAATCCAACGAAAACTGAATCAAAAATAGCTATCCTTCCAGGTTCAAAGGGAGATACTTGAGATAAAAATAATGAACTGAAAGAAAAGTTGCAATTCCGCATAACACTACATTCGTGAATGTCCCCGATTTTGAAGGAATCCTAGAATAAAGATCCTGGGAAAAACTCAATTGTCGAGATCATTTGGGAAAGCCTATTAGGTCAAGATTCTAATTCTTTCCGTTAATTAGCAGATGTTTCGTTTATACGTTATAGATAGATTCACACTTCCTTTTATGGGACAAATTATATCGATCGGATAAAGAGTATTCTTTCCAAACACTTCTTTAAGCATTGATACAACTGACTATCAAAAAACAGTGGGAATCAATCTGATAATGAATTCTTAAACATTTGATCAACTCGATGAGGGGTAACAGGCGTAAGTAAGTAAGTAAGTAAGTAAGTAAGTAAGTAAGTAAGTAAGTAAGTAAGTAAGTAAGTAAGTAAGTAAGTAAGTAAGTAAGTAAGTAAGTAAGTAAGTAAGTAAGTAAGTAAGTAAGTAAGTAAGTAAGTAAGTAAGTAAGTAAGTAAGTAAGTAAGTAAGTAAGTAAGTAAGTAAGTAAGTAAGTAAGTAAGTAAGTAAGTAAGTAAGTAAGTAAGTAAGTAAGTAAGTAAGTAAGTAAGTAAGTAAGTAAGTAAGTAAGTAAGTAAGTAAGTAAGTAAGTAAGTAAGTAAGTAAGTAAGTAAGTAAGTAAGTAAGTAAGTAAGTAAGTAAGTAAGTAAGTAAGTAAGTAAGTAAGTAAGTAAGTAAGTAAGTAAGTAAGTAAGTAAGTAAGTAAGTAAGTAAGTAAGTAAGTAAGTAAGTAAGTAAGTAAGTAAGTAAGTAAGTAAGTAAGTAAGTTAGTAAGTAAGTAAGTAAGTAAGTAAGTAAGTAAGTAAGTAAGTAAGTAAGTAAGTAAGTAAGTAAGTAAGTAAGTAAGTAAGTAAGTAAGTAAGTAAGTAAGTAAGTAAGTAAGTAAGTAAGTAAGTAAGTAAGTAAGTAAGTAAGTAAGTAAGTAAGTAAGTAAGTAAGTAAGTAAGTAAGTAAGTAAGTAAGTAAGTAAGTAAGTAAGTAAGTAAGTAAGTAAGTAAGTAAGTAAGTAAGTAAGTAAGTAAGTAAGTAAGTAAGTAAGTAAGTAAGAGTTACATAACTATAACATTAATATATTATTTCTGAATAACTTTGTTTCTATGCTCTTAGTTGTTTATTCTGGAATATTTTTCTTTTATATTCAACCTATAAATATTCACATTAATTACCGTACGAACACCTCTCATCCTTTTTTTTCTTCTTCTATATTTATGACTCTTTGAAGTAACCTTCATTAATGAGAACTATTCCGATATTTATAATACATAAAGTATGCAAACTGAATTCTTTCTTTTCAATATTAATACTATTCTGATTAAAGGTTGTAAGTAGTTAACGAAAAACGGTAAAAATAGAAATGAGTTCATTCATAGATCTATTCTACATACAAATTAAAACAATATTAAATTTATGGATTGATGAAATTAGAAATTATAGACGATCTTTAAGTGATGTTCAAGTGATCTTGAAAAAAACTCACTAATCTAATAGTCTAAAGAGGGTCGTTTACCACAACGCGCAATGTTGACTAGTATTGGGGATGGTTGGAAGAAAGTTAGGGACGGCCAAACTAAAACGTGGAATCAGTCCTTCAAGTCATTAAGTTCTAGTCTGAACCATGTTGATGGTAGATGTAGACTAATTGGTAAGGGTTCACGCAATTATCGTAACTAGTGATCGGAAACTCTGAATAACATGACTGAGAATCGATCACAATGACGTAGATGTAAACACTATTTGTCTTTCCTAAAATCGTGAGATTAAAATTACTTTATACCTTTCTTTCTAAGAACTAATTCTTTCTTCCTGTATTATATCCTTACATACAATCTTTCTTTTATATATTACTACCAATGAATTAATTACTTCTATGAATTTGGTGTTCATCTTGTTGTGCTAATGAGGTGTGTCAACCTGGACCGATGCATATATTTCCATGGTCCTACATTGTAGCTGACTGTTATTTATTTACTTAAACACATAAATATTGGTACAAGGAAGCACCAGATACATATGCGTCAAACAAATCTCATTCGATTTGTGTGAGGGCTGTGATACTTTCCAGGTGCCCAAATCGAAGAAGGTGGTTTTCTTAGGGAGCCACAACCGGAACCTTTGACCTAAAGGTATGATCCACAAGGCAGTGGAGCATCGTGAGGAGATTCAGTCCCATGGTAGTTGGTGATCAACGATTGATTTCATACGCCATTTGTTCCCTCAGGTTACGGGAGTCAGCCCATGTGCACCATTGGTTTGGAATCAGGGTTTTCTAACTCCCCTAGGTGAACTTTCCATTTCCACCAACCCGGTTAAAGCGCCGGACATTCGCTTTTCGTCCTTTCCATTTTGTAAACAACACCCGTGGTGCGAGAAGTTAGTGAGTAGGACTTCCCTGGCGGAGGCTGACTGAAAGAGGGTTATCAAGTAATCTGAGAAATCAAAATTCACGATCTGGAATTAAAAGTTTGAATTGTCATCATCACAAACTAACATCGGTTACTATGGCAACAACCATAAAATAATGTTTTCTTTTTGCCATGTATAAATGAATGAATTTCATACAAAACTTCAAAACTCACTATCTTAAATCTGATTAATTCTTTCATAAATTATAGTCTTCATTCCTAAAATTATTCACTTACCCACGAATCATTTCTACAGCTTCAGTGTACGGTAAACCAAGTTCAATTAAAGCGGCTGCAACAAGAGCAGGAGCTCTAAATGGAAATTATAAAGTTGAACAGATTGAGATTTGAAGAATTTAAAGAAAAAGTAAGGAGAATTCAATAAAGAATTTTTTTGTTTTCAATGAAATGATTTACTTAAACAGCACATTTGTTATTACAATTGATTGGGTAAAGATAGCGAGGTGACAAAGGAACGAGAATAATTTATGGGTCAGGAAGGTGAGAGGTAACTGCTTATTTAATAGATATGAAGTGGAAATGAAAAACGTATGAGTCATAACAATTGAATAATAGTCACGCAAAATTGTTAGATCAACGGCCTATGTTCCATCAGGGGCATAATGTGTAAGTAAAGCGAAGTAAGGTTTACAAGTTTAGCATCTTCTTAACAAGGTTCCTTTTTACGAGACGAGGTTGCTAATTACAAGTTCAACCAGCTTCCTTTACATGGGATTGGAATCTGTGGTAATTTTAGACGAGCTCCAGGTGAAACTTAAAAGCAAAATCAAAACATACTGGAAAAAGGTGGATCAACATGCCCAGAGATTATGAGGCGCTGCTGTATTAATCTAGTGATTGCTTTGCATTCCCCTTTAAGAAGCCATGACTAGTAACGTTTTGAAATACGTTTAGAAAATGTTAGTTATGTGCGGTCAATACAACCTGCCCTGTAAGTTCAAACAAACTTACAGATACACATCAATATTGCCCGAAGTGAAAAACTAATCCTTAACACATCCATAAATAGTAAGCTAGCTTGAGAAGACAATACGAAGCTTAAATGAGTAGAGAACTTTCCTCAATGGTTTCCATGAAGTGAAAACGAAAATCATAACAAGCGAAAACAGATGTCTCTGACTCTTTATGCATTAAGATTTATGGCTTATCATAATTAAGATTGAAACGTAAAAATAGTGTAAATTAAGTCGATACAATCTATGTCGTCCATATTGTGATCACTGTGATATAAAAATTTCAATAACAGAATATTTTCTCTGTCTAAACAAAAAACCCTAACCTGCCAAGTCCAGCTTTGCAGTGTACAGCTATACAACTTCCAGGACTTTGTTGACATACGTCTGTAATCAGTTGAAACCATTTTTCGATTACTACATCTGGAGGTGGTGCACCATCATCGTATTCAAGATCCTGTAAAATGTTGAAAAAATTAAGTAAGTCAATAATTTAATGCTTCATTTCATTACACATAAATACGTTGCCCGAATCATCTAAGAGTTATTATTTGGTCAAGACAAACTAATTTTGTCAGGACTCCAATACACAGTGAATACATTTAAAAGATTAGTTCCCTACTATTTTTTTTGCAGAAATCCAGTATTAGAAGAGATGTCAGTTCTTGGTAGGAAATCGGATACTACTATAACAGTATGACCTGGGATTTAGATATACAATCTGATTGTGTTTGGCCTGATCAACCGACTTACAGAGCACAAAATTCATTATAATTCGATGGGATCGTCACGATAATTAAACCTGACCATTATACATTAATGTATAAGCCACAGTTAGAAACACTAAACAATATCGTCATCATAAGGTTATCGAGATTGTTGAATTTCATTGAAGCCTCGAACCGATCAAACTTAGACAACCATTCAAAACCTAAAAGCACTAGGAAACCGTTTCATCCTAACATGAGATTCCTCAACAGTGCGCCCAAGTGGCAATGAAACCTATGACCTTAAATCTTGCTTGCGAACGTTTAACCTCTAGACTTTTACACCACTGAGTGCCGGGTTATTAGTTAGAAGTTCAAGCTTTCGCGCATGCCTGGTCGTGGATTCCCACCTTCACTGAAGAGTCTCACACTAGGACGAAATGGCTATCTGATACTTCCAGGTTTTCAATGGTGGTTTAACTCAGATTGATTCATGATATTAATGAAATAAAAATAATATTTAATTTTTATGGTAAAGTAAGAAGATCAACGAATTCAATTGACTTAACTCTTTATCATTTATATCTAATCTAATTGATTTACAAAATATGTCAATACAATAAGCAGTTTAAATTTAGTCCACTGAAGACAGATCTTCAAATATCATTCATTAAAAGTCTTAATCTATCAATCAATAGGTAAGAAGTGAAAATGAGAAACAGAATTGTTATGCCCTGATAACAATAGTGAATGGTAACTTTGGGATCCATTTATGAACCAATATTATGCATATAACTGTTATTATATATTTGCTAAATAATTAAACTATTCATATTCATGTTCCTTTAATTGTGAAATTTATTTTGACCCTTGGACTATTATTGTACGATTTACCATTCTTGAGTTATACCCAGTCTATTAATTACTGCACCCCTATTCACAGTCACATTTGGCTAACTATTGTAGAAATGTTATTTTCCATTTTATTAGTACGATGTGGTCAGTCTGTTTGGTATATAAAATCAGTATATTTGAAATACCAGTATTCATACCACAGAGGCTGTTATTGGTGTTTTCAACTTAACTGGCTGAGATAGGCAGAAGCAGGATTGATAAGCACTCTAGACTGCTCGTACGGTTTTCGTGTGTCACTGTTCCAATCGATAATTCGCTGTTCTCTGATTGGCGGTCTCATTACGTCATAGATTAACTGGGCATCCACTTGGCCACAAGATATAACAAGAATGACAAAGAGATCTCTAAACATTTCTGAAATATAATGACATATGTGGTCAGAGCTAAGTTGGTAGATTTAAACTAACTGCTTGAGGTCTGTGTAAAAAAACGTGACCAATGATTAGGAGAAATTGAGTAGCATGGTCTAGAATCAATTACAATGGCCCAAATTCATTTATTCCGTATCTTCTTCTAGATTTTCTGTTCCAGCACTCTTACACATACTTTTCAAATTTGTTTTTTCAGTATTCACTATCGCAACTATTGCATCATTTCGAATCTTTTTTTAAATATTCATAATTTATAGCAACTTGAGCCAACGCTCACATACGTACCAGAGTCATGTCAGTAGAATTACTCGTTTTATTTATTTGTGTGAGGGCTGTGATACTGCCCAGGTGCCCAAACCGAAGCAGGTGGTTTTCTTAAAGAGCCACACCTCGAGCCTTTGACCTAAAGTTATAATCCACGAGGCAGTGGAGCATCATGAGGAGATGCAGTCCCATGGTAGCCGGTGAACAACAATTGGTTCATACGCCACTTGTTCCCTCAGGTTACTGGAGTCAGCCCATGTGCACCATTGGTTTGGAATGAGAGTTTTCCAACTCCCCTAGGTGGATTCGCCTTGTTCGCCAACCCGGTTAAAGCGCTGAACATTCTATATTCGTCCTCTCAATTTCGTAAACAACAGTCATGTCACGAGAATGTAGTGAGTAGGACTTCCCTGACAGAGACTGCTACTCACAAGACTGCTTGTAGGACTTCCCTGGCAGAGGCTATATACGCGTGGCCATGTGAAAGCATTTGGAGAGGTAGAGCGGACTCTCCCCACTCTCGGACGTACCAGGTCATTTGGGGGCCATTGATCATGAATAACTGATATGTGATCTTTACTAGTGTAAACTACAATATCATCTTTAGGTGCAAAAGAAATAACTCTTGTAAACTTCTTTGAAAAATATGAACTAACAATAGTCATTTATACGTATTATTCGTATTTTTTATTGTATCATAATAACTATAATGAACAATGAAATTTACCACAACTTCAATTCCAACAGCTTCAAGCGGTTCTTTATCGTAGGTGGCTTTGCATACTCGAACCAATTTGCGTACATTGTGTAATTTAAAAACCTAAATAAAAATTGTAGAAAAATATGTTCGTCAAATTGTTGTATCCCATGGAGAATTATGAATGGTAACTTTGAGAACTAATATCATATGTATATTTCCTATTGTATAATTGTTAAGTAACTAAACTATTCATATTCGTATCCCTCTTATTATAAGCTTCATTTTGACCCACAGACTATTACTATACGATTTACCGTTCTTGAGTTATCCTTAGTCTATTAATCACTATTCTCCCCATTCACAGTCACATTTGGCCAAATCTCGTACAAATGTTATTTTTTACTTTATGGTACGATGTGGTCTGTTTGATTGGTATATAAACCCAGTATGTTTGTGAATAATGATTCATATTGCAGAGGTTGTTATTGGTGTTCTGGACTTAACTGGCTGGGTTAGACAGATAGCAGGACTGACAAGTACTCAAAACTGTTCATACGGCTTTTGTGTACTACTGAGCGATCAATAAATTCCCTGCTCTCTAATCGGCGGTCTTATCACATTCATATATCAACAGGGCATGCTCACACTCACACGATATAAAGGAAATGAAATGACAACTATACATAAGTGTAATTGTTAGCTCATGAAAATTAGTAATACTATGTAGCTTTTTGAACTCGCTTAGTGAAGGGAGAGTCATTACACAGACCGTCGGCGTTAACGTCGATAGTCAGTCAGTAACAACGTAGAACTTCGTACGTACGTACATCAGTTCGAGTTGTCATACCACATTAGCACAGAGATGCAGTTGTCGATTCAAATCCCATAGTGGTAGAAGTAGTAAGAGTATAAGTATTATGTGAAAGATAAGGGTTTCAAGATGTTATTGAAGGAGTATAATACGCTGAAATAAATTTGGAAAGGTAAAAAGGAAACGGACATGAAGAATTCAGATTAGAATTTGGTAGAACAAAAAGAGTGGATGCACCTTCGCCATTCTAAACGATTTTGAACCATGTCATTCAAGGTCTCTAACCATCGATTGCTGTCATCTCGCGAATCCCAACCAGGTAGTCTACACCTACCAACATGGCCTAGTCCACTTGTCAGTGACTTCATTGATTTGTGCCACGTTTTGGTCTGGCCACCCCTAGCTTTCTTCCAACCTACTCCTACACCATGAAACATTGCACGTCGGGACAGTCAGTGGTTGGTTGGGCATACGTTACACATGTCCCAGCCATCTCAACTGATGAAGTTTCACTACTTCATCAATCGATTTGCCATCCCTACCTAGTACCCGTTTCCTAACAACTACATTACTTACCCGGTGGTCTCAGGATATACGAGCAATGCTTCGAAGACACCTATGATCGAATACTAGTAGCCTACGAATATCCTCTACTCTTATTGGCCATGCTTCACTGCCATAAAGTAGGATGGAACGAACTGCTGCACAGTAAACACGTCCTTTAGTTGCTAGACGGACATCTCACGTACGCCATAAATGACGCAAGTTGGAGAAAGATAGACGAGCCTTCTGTATCCGTGCTGAGATTTCGTCAAACACCAGACCACAAGGGCTGATGAGACTCCTAAGGTAAGTCGATAATGCCCAGATTAGTAAAATATTGAGTAATTAAAATATATACTAATCTAAGAACCAGTAATTAGATGGAAGAATTTGCACGAAATTGTTCACCAAACTCCGGATAAACCTTTGATTCCCCAATCTTTATAGAATGCGGAAACCATACAAACAACCTTAACTCTTAATAGGTATAAAATACATACCGGCAATTTTCACTTCTAATCGATAATTTATGTTTTATTTCTATTCTATTCTAATTAATCTTTGACCTAATTTTTTCCAAAGAGTTGAAAATTGGGATGTTAAATAGCCATTAAGAAAACAAAAACAAAATTAAAAGATTTATGAAAATATCCTAATAAAGTCAAGTCAAGCAAATTAATCGATTTCTTTCATCTTGAGATAGAAATTCATTGAAACAAAGCCAGAACAAACATGGATACAGAATAATATGAATTCATATTTCATAGTCTCTCATCAACTGCTTAAAACCATTGTTTTATACTATATCTTATCTCGATGTACTTGTTTTCTGGTTAGCGTTTTTCTTAGCGAGTTGGTTTTTTACGAGATTGGGCTGCTAACCCCACGCCTAGCCCTTCTCTTTTACCCGGGCTTGGGACCGGCGGTAGCCCCCAGAGAAGCTACAAACGGAGTGTTTATTAACAGTTGCCTACGCAAGATACTTCGGATCCGTTGGCCAAACACTATCAGCAACAAGTTACTATGGGAGACAACAAACCAGATTCCAGTGGAGGAAGAAATTAGGGAGAAGCGATGGAAGTGGATTGGGCACACTTTGAGGAAATCACCCAATTGCTTCACAAGACAAGCCCTCACATGGAATCCTGAACGCCAAAGGAGAAGAGGAAGACCAAAGAACACATCACGCCGAGAAATAGAGACAAACATGAGAAGAATGAACAAAAACTGGATAGAACTACAAAAGAAGGCCTAGGACAGAGTGAGTTGGAGAATGCTGTTCGGCGGCCTATGCTCCATTGGGAGTAACAGGCGTAAATAAGTAAGTATCTCAATGTAAACTTTCAATACAATATTTCTACATTAAAACCGGTGAGTTCGGTGTTCTTTGTTCTATTCGAAAACGAAGTTTTACGCCAGTATACAGACGAGATTAGGATATTTTAAATGTAAATAGGATTATTGAATACATTGATTAAGTATCCCATATATGCTAGTAAAATAACTACTATCTTGTTGCACCATGTGTTATTATCTTGTAAAACGTTTGCCTTTAAATTATATTAATAGACATTAGAAGACGTTCGGACGAGAACCGGTGTTTTTAACGTGGTATGCTCGTCAACTTGCGTCACCTATGGCGAAGACGAGATATCTATCTATCAATTAAGGGACGAGTATACTGCACAGTAGTTCGCTCTGTTCTACTCTATGGATGCTAAACATGGCTACTAAGTGTAGAAGATACTCGTAAGTTATTAGTATTTGACCACAGATGCCTTAGAAATATTGCTCGCACCTGCTGGGATCACTGGGTAAGTAATAGTGAGGTTAGACACAGGGTATTAGGGAACGATGATGGTGAATCAGTGGCATCAGAGCTTGAAATCACTAACTTCTAGTATGAACCATGTTCGTAGATGCAGACTACTTGGTTGGGGTCCGCATGACTATCGTAATCAATAGTTGGAGACTCTGTATGACGTGGCTCAGAATCAATTACAATGACACAGGTGTATACACTCTTTATCTTCCCTTAAACCGTGAGATTAAAATTGCTTCATATCTGTCTTTCTTCCTGTGCTATATCCTTATATACAACCTTTCTTTTATATACTACCACCACTAAATTAACTACTTCCATGAATTTGCTGTTCATCTTGTTATGCTAATGAGGTGTGGCAACTTGGACCGATGCATATATGTGCCTAGTCCTACGTTGTAGCTGACTGACTGACAGAGAAGACGTTCAGTCACTCAAAGTAAAATCAATCATTGGATTTAGGATATTATGGCACATTAAGAATTCAAAATAATATATTCCCTCCCTGGAAATGATCAACAAAACACTGTTGAATATCGGGGCTACTTGTTCCTGCCATCCAGATATTTCAACAAGCTATCTGTTCCCTTGTTTGTTTTGACAGATCATTATCTCAATTATTTGCATAACCTATTCAGATGCGTTTGCAAAACGTGTACGACTTTTCGCTGTACAAGTTACAAAAATGTACGATCAGAGACATCGTCATGGCTGGCGATATGCATTGAAAAGAATGAATATTATTCAGATATCGACTTTTAAAATTCGAATAACTAACTGGCGATAACTCAATATTTATCATCAATATCGATCAAAAAATAGGAAACGTAAACTCTCTGAAATACTTTTTGCTGATAATTATATAGCATATCAAAAATATAATATTGAATAAAGTTAATAATAAATAAATATAACACATTGCGTCTTACACAACTAAAAACTTAATTCAAATGAGTAGTGGCTCAATTACTGTATGCAGTAATGACACAAGAATCCAGGAAGCAAGAAGTTACCTAACAATAAAAGCTGTAAATTCCAGTTGATTACCAGACTTCACATGCACAACTCAACAGCTACCCAGTTTAGTGGATTTGAGCAATGTGATCTATATTTAAAACTCATGTCAATTCATCAGAGAAAAAAACACTAGATTTTTTAAATATAATGATGCAAATCTATTTGCTGCATAGAAATACGACATACCATGACAAAATTTTCCATATTGTGTGCATTAGGTTCATCTGTGATTAAAAAGCGAGCTGTTTTATATTCAACCAGTGTGACGTGAGGCTGTTGTAACTGACGTGAGAGTTTTGAACCTCTGGGATACGGTTGGAAGCTACCATGACGAGCATCGGCGTTCGAAAGTCGTGGCATTCTGACAACGGTGCTCTGTTCGGTAACTGGTGGATGGACTGACATGACTGGATAGTTGTTTCACCTAAAAGATACAGAAGTGTGGCGAAGTAATTTATCTACCAAACTACAATGAGTGGTATGTAATTAACATATCCAAGTATAAAATTCAATATCCTAAATTAAACTATTGGTAAGCTACATATCAAATTTTTCCTAGCTCTTCAACTAAATACATCTAACACAGATAGTTACGGTAAAATTTTGGATAATCAACTTGTCTGTTTGAACACAAATAAATATATATAGAAATTCACATCAAACACCAAATTAGTCTTTTCAAGGAGTCAAAAAACACATTTACATTGATTGAATACATTTTTCCTGGAGTAATCACTCTCATAAACTAGTAACTTAGTCAAGATAACTGTTTACAATCATTCATTATGTCACTCATCTTTCATCAATCACACAGGTAACCCACTAGATGTTAGAGTTGTTGAGTTGACTTGCATCGAATTATGTCTAACCATGACCTAAATATTGTTTTACTGTCAGAAATCACTACAGAATCAATTATATGAGGTAACCATTTCTGATAAATGTCACAATACCAACATTACTTTGCTCTAACAGTCATCACCTCATGAGGATTACAGAAGACTAATTTCTTAACTCGTACAAATAGTGTGAAATGCTACAATTTAGATATTGTGGGAGTCCCGTTCTATTTTAGTTGATTGGATTCTGTTACTGAGATAAAACTGGAAGTTTCTGACGTAAGTCATGAGAGCTAATATTACTAATGATAATTTCACGTTCTATTAACACAAGTTTCGTCAATATAAAGGGTGAACACGGACAAAATACACACAATCTATTATATTTTACTTGACTCAAGCACAACTTACTTTTACATCAAATAAATCCAATAAACTGGAACAAACCACAGAACTATGCAGTACACGTCAATAGTTATAAACACCAATTGATATTAGCTCAATATACGATGAGGCCTAATCAAATGGCTGGCTACGTTGGTTTGATATATTGCGCCTCGCAAAAGTTAGTATTCTTGCCGAATGACGGGGTGACACGCCGATGGCTCACTGCACTGTAAAGGTAATATGATAGAGCGTCAGTAATTTTACATTATTTGAGCATGGCAATAAATGACTTTACACGAACAAACCAGCCGACGATTGGGAAACCATGTTAGCCGTTTACTTAAGCTAAATGAAGGACGGCAACCAATAATCTCCACAAATTTGCAATTTACTTTGGTTTATTATATTTCCTTGGCTAGTTTATTGTGTAAGTTTTGACTAGTTAGTTCATTTTAAGATCCTTCCCTATTGTCCAGGCTTATGAGGCCTGTTGATTACACTTAAGGAAGGTGTAAATAATACATTTCTTTAGGCAATTAACTGAATGCAAGGTATAATTAATACATATTTAAAATACACTGAGATTTACCTAGACCATTAAATTATTGTGCTCTACCAACACATTACTATTAGGTTTTACTTACAATTATACAAATGCACAATGTAAGAGCTCTTTGAAACATACTGAACATTATTTATAGGTGTGATTGGGCACTCAACAGGGAGACTATAATTCATAGATGACCTCTGAGCAATATTAAAGTTTTCTTGAGGAACTTTAGCCATTTACTAGAGCTGATGTATGGTTATGAATTAGTGTGAGGAATTAAGACTAGTACTTGGAGTTAGAAGTCGAGGTTACGAATTAGAATTAGGGTTTTCATCACGAACTGAAACTAACTTTAATGTCGTTTAGATGAATGAATCTCGCGCGAAATAGCGAAAATTGTGAATTGAAATCTGACTAGTTTGTCTATAAATTGTCGCCCTGTTCCTAACAGTCTCGTGTTAAAGTTAACTAATGATACTGAATAACAAATACAACCAACTACGCAATGAGACCATTCAAGTATAGAAGTCTAAGGAAATCGGCAGTTATTGTGCAACCAATGAAGCGATATTAATGAAATACGTACGGAATCTACTTTGAAAACATTTCTGTAAAATTAGTGAGTATCATATCATCTACATTAATGTCTGGGTGCAAAAGACAGGTGAAAATGATAACGACCAAAATTGAGAAAACGTCCACCACTAAGAAGACACTTGTTGTGTATACAGACTTTGACTGACATAAACATACGTACTATAAGACTATTGTTCAACAGCATACTAACGAGGCAGATGACATAATTAAGGCAGCGACATACTGAATCGTAAAACCTAATTATTAATGATCTGTAGGACTTGCCAGACTTCCATAAGTTCTTGTAAATAAAATACCACCTACGACTCAAACAAAGAATATATACCTTGCTAAATACATAAGACAAAAAACTAGTTTTATACATTTATATTACACCACTGCTTAAGTAGGCGGTAAATCTGATTTTAAACGAAAACCAATATACGCGAGCTACCTATAGAAATGTCACCTAACTGAAGGATCTCATTTACCTAATACTTAAAGATTATATTCAGGAATTCATTATCTGTTAAAATCTAGTACTTCATTATAACAGAGTTCAGCCTCCAATTCGCACCTTAATATATCGCAATTTCGAAAGAACGGGTACCTTACACATTTAAGATGCACTTTTTTACGTTTTTGTGTGATAAAACATATGATCAAACACACTTGAGATTCATAAAACCACAGTACCTCATTGATTGTGACCTTTATGCACAGAACTCTCTTTAAATCCGTTGATTGATCCAAACACGTAGACCACTGAATATTAAACTCTTTTATTAAATGCCAATGTGAACTGCAAAATTTTTCTATTGCAGCAGTCCAACTTCAGTAATAAATTAAAATCGTCAGCAGGGACTACGATATACGAAACAGACACTTGGTTATACAAGATGTTCAATACTTAGTATAAGCCAATTTGTTACATCAAGGTTGTATCATGGCCTCAAGGAATAACTCCAGATATCTAGCATTACCCAGTAAGGTTATTCCGGCGGCTCAATTAAACTGTTTCGAGAATTTTAACAAGTGTGTGCAAGTTCGTATGCATTGGAGATAAATTTTGTATATTTGTGAGCTCAGGATCTACTGGAAAGAATCTGTGAATTGTCTGATCCTCAGAATGAGCATAAGGTTTTAAGGCGTTTCATTTGAAAGACCTATAATTTTTGTCGTAGCTTCTTTTTGAAAATGGTAGAAGACCGTATTTATTGAATGAATCGATTGTTAAAGGATACAAATGTGGTCTGTCTCGTTCCCATCGAAACTAAAGTGTGTGACGAGATTTATATTAGAACACCCAGTAAAATATAGTATTTCCATCACTTCAGATGGGGAACTTTAGAGCCCATAAAACCTCTGTAGGTGAATTTCCGTAAGTTTTCCATTGTATTCTGATCTGAAGCGATTTTCTCTTCAGCACAATTACGGACTCGTGTATTTGCGGTCTAGTAGAACGGGGTGGATCATTAGCATCATAATATTTTGAGTCAAGCTTTCTTTGATTTTTTACTACATAACCTTATAATTGTCTTATCAAGAGAGTTGAATACAGCTTACTGCATTTATGGTTGATCTTCTTGTGTTTCATCTCCTCGAGCCTTGGATCCTCCTTGAAATAAGCGGCAACTGTCATAGTTGGAACTGAAGGAACTTAACGGATTAAAAACAGTCATCTTTAATACTATTGATTTCACCGTGTTCTGAATATTTTTATTTACTGAAATGCTGACTCAAATTTTTACCTTAGACCATAAAAAAAATAACGGGGAGAGTTTGCATGCATATAACGTACAATTCTATTCGAACCAAAAATACAACAATACCGCCATGGATTGTCCCATGGCCCTTGTTGGATCAGGTAAACCGAAAGTCACGAAAACACCATAAGAGCACACAACGAGTAAGCAACCATAAATGGGGGTCTGTCGGTGTCATGATTTCAACCCAGGACCTTCGATCTCGCGCACGATTGATCAACCTCAGGAACATTAAATCGACATCCAAGGCGCAAGCTGAATGCACAGAAGCAAAGAAACACGTGAAGAAAAGTAGCCATAGGTCTTCGATTGAGCAATGACAGTGGAAGAAACTTCAAGAGAAGTAAATATGGGACACATATACGACACGACGAAGAAACTAGTAGGGAAATATGATGAACCGGAGAGACCAGTCAATGTTTAAAACGGGCGAGCCAATCGCCGAGATTCAAGAACAGAGGGACATATATGTAGAATATTTTGAAGAACTCTTGAATAAACCAGCTTCGCTGAACCCAGCGAACTTCACGGCGGCACCCACAGACCTTCCTACAGACGTCACTCCACCAACGATAGAAGAAATCAAAATGGCTACCAGAAAAATCAAGATTGTGAAAGCAACATAACCTGACAACATACCAGCTGAAGCATTGAAGTCAGAAATAGAACCAACTTCAATCATGCTCCATATTCTATTCAGGAATATTTGGGAGGAACAACAACTCTCACAGGTAAACTGGAGAGAAGGATGCCTCGTCAAGATGCCAAAAGAAGGAGTTTCGGGAAATTGTGATAACTCAGCTGCAGAGGCATCCCACTACTATCGGAACCAGGAAAAGTTTTCAACAGTGCTTCTGAACCGGATGAAAGACTTAGTAGACGCTCAACTTCGAGATCAGTTTACTGGATTCCGTAAGGATCGGTGGTGCACAGACCAAGTCGCGACACCACGGATCATCGTTGAACAATCAGTCGAGTGGAACTCATCATCATAAATAAACTTCATTGGTTGTGAGAAGACATTTGGCAGTGTGGAGAGAAAGACCTTATGGAAAATTCTGCGACACTTTGGCGTACCTCAGAAAATCATCAACACCATCCAGGATTCATACGTCAGACTGCTGTGCAAAGTCGTACATGTAGAACAGTGGACAAGTGCATTTCAAGTGAGGACCGGTGTTGAACAAGGCAGCTTGTGCTCGTCTCCTCTCTTCCTTTTGGTTGTTGACTGGATTATGAAAACCTCCACATATCAACGTAAACATGAAATACAATGGACGGCCTGGATGCCGCTAGACGATTTGAACTTTGCAGATTACCCAGCTCTTCTTTCCCACACACACAAAAATGCAGGTCAAGGAAGTCGGTGTAGCAGGAGCCTCTACATCAAATTGCCTAAGCACATACAAATGAACAACCAAGATCTTCAGATACAACACAGAGAACACCAACCCAATCACACTTGATGGAGAAGCTCTCGAAGAGGTGGAAACTTTCACGTAAATGGAGAGCTATACACATTAGTTGTTTAATAAATACACAATACAGCTATGCAAATAGGTTCATTCTAAAATAGCTTCTTCAATTTCAACATTTATTTTCTTCATGATGGTCTGATTCATTATGGATCAACTTCGAAATGAATTTGATACTTCACTAATGCCTTTGGCGCTCTAAAAATGAATTCCAATCGACATAGAATCTTCAATATCAGTGTAGAGAACATTTTGACCGCATATTTATTAGTGATATAGGGAGATGTACCTTCACTCGACAGGTGCAAGGTCTCAAACCTGCCACCTACTTGTTGACACCCTGATATCATCCAATTAGAATGTTTGGTCAATATATCTTACTGGAGTATTTGTTATAAGTTTTGTCGAGCTGGATAATTATAAGGCCATACAATTATGATAAGCTGGTAAGAGACAATGTAATATCTTAGATAATCTTCCTTCAACTACGGACTAAGAGAGTAAGTTTTATTGACTGTTAAGACTTATTATCCATGTTTGATTGTATTCGTTTAAAATGGAGGTTTTCGCTTGGTTCTTTGAAGTTTTACTCCATTTAGTATCAATGTGCTTCTTAATATTTTGTGTTACATTCCACAGAGTAAACACCATCTTATCCTTCTCACCTAAATAACGAAGAACAGGACTGTTTTTTTGCAATAAAACAACAAAGCAGTAAACAGCGACTGGGGGGATTATAGCTGATGTCAGTGCGTGTAGAAAAAATTGTATCTTATTCCCAACCATAACATTCAATTGTAAATCCTGATCCTCATTCCTCACACTAATTTATAATACTCACTTAAACCTAGTAGGTAGGTGGACATTTCAAGGTCATTTTGGCGTCGCCAGAGGGTCGTCCGTATAAAACAGTCTCGTTCATTCACACAAGTGTTCATTTTATGTATCTAGTTTCGAGTGTCTTAGGCACCTAGTCGATGTAAATGGTTTTAGACCATATAAGAAACGAATAGCTCTACTGACAAGTGCACCGTCTCAAAAATATCTTACAAAACTACGTTCACTAGTAGGGCCCCTTCAAAACTATTCCCGTTTTGTACCTAATTTTTCTTATCGCACCAATTGTTTATTCAATACTTTGACATCCAATTCATTTAAATGGGGTGAGGAACGATAGACATGCTTGCGAATTCTCCTAAAGTTTCTTCAAAGTGATGCTATTCTTTAGAATTACTCACCCAGTGTACATATGTACTTAGTACTGATGTATCACCTGTGGGTATTGGTGCAATTTTGGAACAGGAATGTAGACCAATTATCTGTCTCACGCGAACTTACTGTTGCTGAACAAGGTTACTCGCGAACACAGCGAGATGCATTAGTTGTGTTTTGGGCTGTTAAAAGAATTGATAAATATTTATTTGGAAACTCACTATTATTACAGATCACGAAGCTTTGAAGTCAATTTATCATCCTGAAAAATAATTAGCACGTGCCAAACAAATCTAACCTGAAGACTACATTTCCTGACAGTCATTGCGAGATAGACCTGTTAATACTTCAGACAGTTTGATAGTACCACCTTTACAGGTGAAAAATACAGATCTCATAAAAGAAACTCGTATATACTTTGGATGCATATACAGTGCTGCACCAAAAGGTGGGAATGCCAATCTGTCCATGTTTTCAGAGCGGGATGGGTTATCTACTATTCCTGATGGTATTTTGTGTCTAAATGATCGTTTTGTTATTCCTCCTTCATCATGTATATCTGTCCTTGATGATCTTCTTAGTGGACATTTAGGTGTTTTGGAAATGGATGTTGGTGTGCGGGTGAAGATTATTGGTCGTTCTGCTTAGTCAGGTATGTAGATAGTGTGACAGGTGTTAGATGTGTTTTATTTACTCCTATGATTACTTACTATTATTAATTGTTTCTTGTTGTTGGATTGTGTCGGATTTTGGAGTGGAAATATATATTTACGTTCTAGTCAGGCTAATCACGCGTTCTTGATTTGAGTTGTGTTGAGGCCCTGTAGAATAGACACTGGGAGGGAATCTAGTGTAGATATTCGTCTAAGATAAATTAATATCCCAGACGAAGAAAAACCGATCGTTAAAACAGGATGATTTCTTGTTAAATTATTGCAATAGTCCAATTAATAAACATAAAGCATATTTTTAATTTTTTATTTCACTTTTTTTTATTACACATTTGGGTCATTCCGGAGGTGTTATCTGCGATGCTTTACATTTAATCTCTCCAATATCTAATCATTTATTTCAACAAGCAATATTACAAAGTGGTTCACCATTAGCATGGTGGGCTGTTGAAAGTTCGCATAACAAGAAACCCTAGCGTTTTAACAGAAGTCCTTGGCAAGACTCACATGTTAGTGACCAGAGATAAATGAAGATATATGTCGTACAGCAAACGATTTTGAAAAATGTCATAAGTTGAAAATTCAGCCTTTGAAGTGTACTCCATGGCCAGTGTCGTCTGAGGCCTGGCAGACAATTCATGCAGGCTATTGCGGTCCATTTGTTGGCAAATATTGTGCACTTGTAGTCATTGATTCTTTCTCTAGGCTGCTGAAGTTTTTTTCACAACTTCACAACCCAAGCACTAATAAAAGTGTTTAGTCGAGAAGGGATTCCCATGTTAGTGACTGATAATGGCAAGGATTCTTCGATTGAATGTATTTAGAGTCTGCAGAAGCTACGTATTATCGTGGAAATGACCTCCGACCAGCCACGGGGATCGTGGTACAAAATGTTGGGAAATTTATGTTGCAAATTCTAGATATTGATGATTTAAGTACACGTAACCGACATGTTGATCAAATGCAATTCCAAGAACCGAGTGAGTCTGTTCCAATTTCGGTTGATAATTTTAATACTACTGAGTGAATTCTAGATTACAAGGAGTCTATACCTAGTATACAGCCGGCAGACGCATGATGAAACTACTGATGTACAGTTGCCTATAGAAGTTTGGATTCTCACTTAAGCTGTGGCGGTTTTGGTGTTTGTGCAAATTGATGGTTCCTTTGCATTGAATTGCGCACTGATTACGAATTCCAAATACAATACGTTCATTTGTGTTTACCTAGTTCTACCTGCCTTAGATGGCACTATTTCGATTGGTACATTATTTCGAATACTTCTAATTATCACATGTATTTTAGAAGGTTGATGTTCCAATACCTCATGGTACACAGCATACCTAGCTGGAAATTGATGTGGTAGACAACACTGTATATCTTAACTGGATCGACCGTCCCAATAAATGTATTTTACAACTAATCATTAAAACTCCGACAAGTCGGAAGCAATCATCACTCAAGTGTGATCAGCTTACAGAAATACCTCCATTCGGTGGATTCTATTATCAATTACATCAGGTTAGTTCCTAACGGGTGAAATTTAAAGAGTCCAGTTTGTTGAATTCATACGTTCAGCAGTATATCAACAAGTCAGTGACAGACCAAATCTCAATGTATTTGCAATAGTTATCAACATATTAAGTTGAAATAATACTCCAACACTAAAACGCTCTTATTGCTGATTCACTTTTCGCCAACATGTGGAAAATAAAGACAGGTAGAGACTACATATAGGTCTTGTAAAACAAATAAGAAGCAAGAACTTAATTAGTAAACTGCATGTTAAATAAAAACTCGCAACAGCATTGGGAGCTAGTTACTCGCTGGATCAAGTGAGCAACACATGGAAAATCAGTCGTTCGTATAGTAACAATCAACATCTGCTGATGAAGTGTATTTAAACGGGTTAAAGTATCCTCACCAGGTTGCTGATTTTTATAACGCCGAATTCGATGAGTTGATATTGACGACAAAACAATGGTCAGAACGAAATTATGAGCGCCCTTGTTTCCAGAAGAAAACATCAATAGAATGAGAAACCGACTGTACAATCATGGTAAGCTGAGATGGATAGTGGCTAGCAGTGGAATCCAGGACGCCCGTTTCGTCCTATTTGGGACTCGTCAGCTGGATGTACCTACATCTCAGAGTTGATGTTCACTCTGGGACTCAAACCCAGTACCCTCGCTTCAAACGCCATCGCGTTATCCACTCGGCCACTGAGTTCTGACAGCCGCTTGGTGGTGCTGGCCACTAGCCACATCAACTCTGAGATGCAGGTACATCCAGCTGATGAGTCCCAAATAGGACAAAACGCGCGTTCTGGATTCCACTGCTAGCCACTATCCATCTGTGCTTACCATGCTTGTGAATTAAGGCTATATCGAGGCAATACGCACAGTATGCACATATGCCAATTAGAGACTGACCAGTTGCAGTCCTAACAAATCGATGGGAAGATTCAAACAAACAATACTGAATGGATCCGACTGTACAATGTTTATAGACATACTAGATTGATTGGGATATATTTGAAAAACTAATTTGTGAAGTTGTAGCTGCTAATTATGGACGGAAATTTCCGTCCCACATCATGTGATTAACTTCTGATACAGATTCAAAAACAATTAGCGTTTCCAAACATCGCGTCTACGTGATGCTAAATAGGTTTGCATCAACCTCATTAACTATGCTATTCAATGTAAACACAAGTGAAAAGTACTCTAAAAGTGTACGTGAGCTCAACAAACTAAGTTGCCACGACAACAGAACTAATATTCAGAGGTTGATATGTAAACACAATAGAAAATATAAACCTATCCATTTTCGGCCTAAGTTGCTGCCTTATGAAATATCATCTACTGATTGGGCGGCCGATAGTCGAGAAAGACTTTTCAGTACTTCATACATTGAAACGCACCAACACCTAGTTTGAACAATTCAATAAATTATTTCGTTGCTGAACCAATAAGCTCAATTCCATTCTGCAACTTCCGCAGCATTGATTAGGACACATGATACTTAAACGACGTTTGCTCAACTGGGAATACAAGTGCGCATTTGACCATAATCGATGAACTAGTCAGTGACATATATTGAATTTATAGTCTACTCCATGACCGTCATTTTGATAAGTGTATGCCACCGAATGGGAACAACATAACATATATTTATTTAGGACATATTCGTCATTTTTTTTATGCTGGACGAGGTTATCCAACCTTCTATTAGGTGTGCAATATCCAGCGTTGTTCCGCTCATTTAATGGGTGGATATTGCATGAAAGTGTAGCTTCGCTGGAGACTTCATTTTACACATCTGTCTACTATGAACACATTTTGGTGTAGTGCATCTAAACATGCCGGATGAAAAACGAATAAGATGTGAGTTAGGGCTTCAAATGAAATGTGGTAAAAATCATTTATATACGACACTCATCCGCCAAATGAACAAAGCTGTTGGATGCCTCGCACCTATTGGATATCGAAAAACGACCAGATGATTTAAACTCTTACTACCACCTATTAACAAAAATCATTTTTCCATAATAAATGAACTGACTTTGACTGCTTAATTTTAATTTACTATGTTGTTTCTATTATTCATAACCCTCTTACTATAGCTCACAATAAGGTTACTACTATATATCAATTACAATCGATTAGTCTGACGAATTTTGTGGTGTAAGGACATTAATGAAGTTACCATAAAGTGACTAGATAATAAAAGTATCAAAAAACGCCTCAGAACCAAGTATAACCGGATCCCCCCTTCATGTTTGATTTGAACAAAGCAGAAATATGAGAGACAACTTTTGACTATGGTGACGAAAGTTACAATCATTCATATCTTTGTATGAAAAGCAAGGGGAAAGTTTCAAATTTCTCTCGTAGCAACTAAGAAGAATGTTGAATATTTAAAGCATTCATTATGGTCATATTAGTTTTTTTTATACAATAAATAAACTATTCACATGATGATGGTAATAATAATAAGAATAATCCAGAACAATATTATAAAGTAAACAAGAAAGAAACTGAACTACATTAGATAAAATATCATAAAGGATGATTTACTTGTTTTGACATTCTTCATTAGAATCTATATGAATTTCTCTAGAGTCTATTGATGAATGATTTTGTTTATTAAGATGATCATTAGATGATTGATCAGTTGAAATAATATCTGGTTGCTGTTGATGATCTGATCTGATTTGTGTTAGTTTATTTTCAAGATTTTTAAGAGCATTTTGAACAGCTAATATAACTTCACGACGTTTATTTCTAATGAATATTTCACCAGATGAATTGATCTTATCTAATCGTAACATAAGTTTTTCAAGTTTATCTTCAAGTAATAAATATGCTTTTGTTTTAGATGAAGCTGGAAAAAAAGAAAATGTAATATCAACATGGATTTGGATAAAATTATGTAAGACAATACAAAAAGATTCACTAATTTCAAATCAGAACCTATTTATCAGATTCCTACTGACAACTGTTCGTGTGTTATTAGGTTGAAAGTCTCCCCCAAGCTGAGGAAAACCGGTATGAGGAGCATCAACCACCAATGGTGTAATCGCAGATAAGCTAATAGATGCAATGCTTCTGAAACTCAAGTGTGGACTAAGAGTGGTCCCTGAGAAGTATGCGAATATACTAAAGGCACTGTAAATAAACACTTTAGGTAGAGTGACAGCGTACAACCACCTCTCCATTGTCTCAAGTCAACAGTGGAATTGAAGACTTCTGGTCGACCTCAATATTGATCCTTGACTTATGCATTGATGATGATCAGTTTATGACATAAAGTTACAAAGAACTGGCATTTGTAGGTTCATCGTGAACCCCCTCCAGTCGAGATCTTTATAACTCTTCTTTACTACTTATATGTTTTATTCGATTGCTAACATGCATTTCCTATTACGTAATTCATAATGAATAGTATCTTGGTAAATTTATTCTTTTAAGCTCTGACCTATTTCATATATCAATTAAGTTTGTTCATATCATGATTTTGTTAATTATTCGTACCATTGTTACTACAATTTTTATCTTATTATCGACTTGTGTAATTTACCTATAATGAATAGTTATGCAATACTTTTTCACTATTATCACCGATCCATAAACTGTCTTGATTGGTTTAAGATTTTTCATATATTTATATAAATATCACTGTGAAATAGAGTAAAGCTAAACGAAAAGAATATTGCTCGCTTATAACTGTGTTGTTCTGTAATTTAAAATACAGAATTCTTTAAAACAAATACATACTTAGATATGTATATAATACGCCTCCAACTTCCTGGTACGGCCGAGAGTGGGGAGAGTCCGCTCTCCCTCTACAAATGCACTCACATGGCCACGCGAATATATAGTATCAGCCAGGGAAGACTACTCATTGCCTTCTCGTGGCCAGAAAGTTGTTTACGAAATTGAGAAGACGAAAAGCAAATGTCCGGCGCTTTAACCGAGTTGGTGGACACGGAACATCCACCTAAGGGAGTTGGAAAACCCTCATTACAAACCAATGGTTGACATTGGTTCCAGTATCTTGAGGGAACAAATGGCGTATGAATCAATTGTTGGTTACCGGCTACCATGGGACTGCATCTCCTTACGATGCTCCACTTCCTTGCTGATCAGATCTTTAGGTCGAAGTCTCACGGTGTGGCCTACTAAGAAAACCACCTGTTTCGGTCTGGGCACCCAGGTAGTATCCAAGCCCCCATTCAAATCAAATGAGATTTGTGTGGTTCATATTTATATGGTGCTCCTTTGTACCAATATTTGTGTGTTTAAATAAATAAATATAATATAATACGGTACAAAAGATTTTTTGTCATAAATAAGTCAACTCACAAGTAAACCCGTTAATCTCAGTTTCTATTTCTGCAAGTTCACATTGAGCTTGTTCTATAAGAGAGAGTGGATCTAATGCTGTTGGTTGACATACATTTTCATTATTATCACCATTATTACTATCATCTGAAATTTTAACAAAAACAGATTTGATAGGAATTGATTCACTCTTCTCAGTGGAAGAATTTTGATTGATTTTATACGAATCAGACGATTGAGTTGCTTGGGAGTTATTCGGTTTTTGTTCATATTCACGATGGTTACCATTATTATTATTGTTATTCGAAGAGCTAATAGAATGTACCTTGGTAAGAGTTGTTAAAATGAAAGAAAATATATTTTTGATAACACCCACAATTTTAATACAACTATAGTCAATATGTTAAAGTCAAATGATTCACAACAAAATAGTCATATCGACATAGTGGGGTAAATAACACTTTCTTTTCTAACTGTTAATGAAAGCGTTAACTGACACGTAAGCAAACTGATCATTGAGTGCTACTGATTGACGCTAGTAATCAGTAAGATTATTTGCAATGCTAAAATGTGTTACTCATATTTTGACAACTATTCAAACTATCACATACATTTAATCTCATAACCAGTAATATTAGTCTCTGGTAATTCAACTTGTATATGATACAATGTAAGGATCATCAGTGATGATGTCAAACCAGGCACTGTTTGAGAAACAATCTGTGGTACTAAGTAATATCGCTAAAAACAAAATTTTCTGAAGTAAGAAGTACGAAAATTTTGTAATTTTTATCGATGGGCATAAAACCAATCCATCATTGTATTGTATTAATTACCTCCACCTGTCTAATATCGTATAAATATATGGCTATATCGGGTTTAAATAGTTCAGCCATATTAACTATACATAGTTGTAATTTTAAAGAACAGAATTTCCATAGAGATTATCATATGAGTATTTGGGAAAAGCAGTTAGATATGTGGCTTGTCTACAGAAAAATAAAAGAATTTAGGCAAAAAGGCTGTGATAAGAAAGTTTACTTGAGCATGAAAGTCTCCAAACTAATAAGCAGATAATGCTAGACTGAAAATACACAAACTTTTGGACATTGAAAGGCGGCAGGATCAAGTAGGTGCAGTTGATAAGGTTTGAGGCTTTATTGAGAACCTTAACATGGAACTACCTAAACTACAGGAACACAAATTAAATGCCAAACTCAAAGCGTATAGGGCAATTACACTAGCTAAGTTCACGATCTAAACTAAAAAAATCCCATAGTTTTGCAAACCCCATGTAGTAGTTATAATCATGTGCTCATTAGCGACTAATTTCAAGATCCAACTCCTGGGATCCTAATGAAAAGAGTGATCGGCGGAGTCTAATCATGTTGTGTAAGACAGTTATTCACTCCAGGTAATGGATAAGGGTTGAGCAGTATCATAAATCGACTGGAGAAAGAGATGTGCAACATCAGATACTTGCTCCGTGGTCTACACGTCAAGCGTTTAGACACGAAACCGAAGGTCCTCTATTTGATTACAGGATGTGAGACCGTAGATACGCTCTATTGAGGAGCCCCATATTATGATGAAACGGCCGTTCAGCGCTTTCAGGTTGTCAACAATGGTGTAGCTAAGACCAGTACTTGATTTAAACTATGAAAACCATGAAAGGGTTTATAAATGGTTGTCAGGCTGATTGATAAAAGACGACATCACTGAATATAGTTATTTAATTGAGCTTTGTACAGATAAAGGAAAGAATAATGTATAATTGTGAATGATACTGAAAGGTTCACTTCCACAATAAAGGTATCAGAAAGAAAAAGTACAGACGGAATAATTTGGTAGCTGGATCGTTCGTCTAAAAGATTATTGATGAAACCCTAATTAAAAAGGGTAACTTGACAGGTTTATAGAAATGTCGACCAATAGATGTATGTGTGCGGAAACATTTATCACTAGAAGACCTCAATACTACCCTATAGTAAGGGCAACAAGAGTTTCAAGAAGCAAAGTTGAAAATTGTTAGAACGATAATTTAGAAACTTATAATCCAATATAGCTAACTACAGTCGTTCAATTTAATGAGGTTACCAGTCAAATTATTGATTAACTCCATATGGTTAAGTTCCATTTTTTTACTCCAAAGCAGGCGTAACAATTGAGTGAAGAGGGGGAGATATGAATGTTAGATTTATTTGAAATATCATATGGGACAATAGAGCTCCCAAAGTGAGTCCTCCAATATATAATAATGGTTAATAATGACACATAGTTAAGTCAGAAGACATATAAAATAATTTAATTAATTACACAAGAACTATGTCAACTTACCTTGATTGGTATTGGTTCACTAACATTATCATAATATGACTGAGTTTTACGTTGAATATTATCTCCTACATTGCCTACTTTAATATTTCCTGGATTAGAAGGATCGGTCACTGGTTCATTTCCAGAAAGATTATACTGTCGACGATTATTAAGAGATTCAGATGAATAAGATGGGACAGATTGTAAATTTTGTATGGTATTACTCTAGATTATAGAAATAAATATAGTGAGAAAATCTTTCAATATATGAATATGGGACAAAGACTACAAAATTATTAATTAATTAAGAGACATAAATATCATGACGATGATTTTGATGGAGTATTGTTCTCTGAGCTGGATGGTTTGGTCGTGGAGCTTTCATCGTTTTTCTGAACGACATCATCAGCACAAACTTCGGGTAGAAGTGAAGTATTCGAATTCCTCCACATGTGATCACTTCTACCCGAAGTTTGTGCTGATGATGTCGTTCAGAAGGACGATAAAAGCTCCACGACCAAACCATCCAGCTCACAGAACAAAACTACATCAAAATCATCCACCTGAGTTACAAATCTTCTCCACTAACTCAAAATCATGACGATGAGTTAAATGAAGAGAAAATCTTGTGGGAAAAAATGTTTTTTCATATTGGTTTCAAGTGACGAATGTAAACATTTCAATTGGCCGCATCAGATCCAATTTAGAGGAATAAAAAACAGTGTTCTCGAATAAAAGCAATGCCTTAACAACAAATAATTTGTCTTTACATGCATTGAATCACATCAACAAATGGTACTACTACTTTGTCAGAAAACTATATTCATTTGTAAGGAGTTTAGTATTTTAAACATTGGCATAAATAGATCCTGATAGTAGTAGACTAGGATCATGAAAAATCTGAATGATTCGCCTGAAATCCCATTAAATTAGTCAGTCGCAAGTAATGTAGAACTCGGCCACATTTTATCACTATAACGAGGTGAAATTATCAATGCGAATCCCAAAGTAATGCAAGTAGTAACAGTATCAGTAGTAGTAGTAGTAGTAGTGTAGTGGATGAGAACACGAGTGGAGACAATTGAATGCATTTTAGCACAAAATTACAGAATATCTCATTAAAATATGAGAACTATATAGTGAGGTTAATTTGCAAAATAACAATCAATGGTCTCAATTCGACTGTTTCTTCTGCAAATATCCGTCCATAGTCTCCGATTATAATTGTTCATGCATTTTCATACCAATTGCGTGCCTTTCCCGTTCTCTCCTTATCGATCTTCTACTGAAATACATTCAATGCCCGACCATCACCATATACTACTTATCAGTAACCCATATCACAGTAGTACTAGTAGTAAAAAAATTATGCATAGAAAGTATATGAGAAGAATGGATTCTTGGGAAAGAAAAGAATGAGATAATTATAAAACTCAAAATTTAAAGGAAGACAAACAATGAATGCATTTGGAAGACTGTGACCGACCCAATCCATTTCATATCCTTCAATGTCTCCCAACCACTGGTCACGATGACTGCGTAGATCAAGTCGTTTGCACCTACCAACACGGCTCAATCCAGCAATCAATAACCCCATGGACTAATACTAGAGATTGGCTTAACTACCCGGTTAAAGCGCCGGACATTCGCTTTTCGTTCTCTCGATTTCGTAAACAATACCCCCGCCACGAGAAGGCAGTGAGTAGGACTTCCCTGACAGAGGCTATATACGCGTGGCCATGTGAGAGCATTTCGAGAGGGAGAGTGAACTTTCCCTACTCTCGGCTGTACCAGGGCATTCGTGGGCTTGAAATATATAAGTCGTCCCCCAAAAAACAGAGAATTCATTTTATGATCAGAATGGGTGTTTTGTGGAGATTGTAGTAAATTCTTTAATAGTTGAATTCATTAGTCGATGTAAGCTAGATCGCCATTGAAAAACTGAAAGCACTGGGTGGCCGTTTCGTCTTAGTATAATACTCCTCAGCAGTGTGCATCCATGATCCCTCATGCGGGACTCAAATACAGGACTTTATGTCTCCCGCACAAACGCTTAACCTCTAGACCATTGAGCCGGCATACATTTTTAACTTCAATCGCCCTATGATCTCGTGTAACTATTCATCTATTATCTTACGTCGACTCATAAATTCAACTATTAAAAAAAAGAATTCATCTTCACAAATAGCTATTTTATACATCCAAACGTAACCTGAATTAAAAATAAAAATAAGAAACTACAGAAATGGTTCATTAGCGTTGAAAACGAACATTTGGCTGTCATTAATGAATGACTGGATTATAGAGTATGCTGGTCTATACATATATATAGTACATTTACGTATATTAAGTACAAATCATTCAATATACACCATCTTTTTCTTAAAATAGGTTTGTTTGAAAAATTACTTTGCAGGTTTGTTGATTTATATGCAACACAAAGGTCAAGGTTGTGATTAATAATAGAACATGAATGAAATTAACAAACTGTACGATCAATAACAATCGTTAGCCACTCTCTTAAATGTCTCGGATATCTTCTACGATTTGTTTATTTGAGCGCATAAACATTTGTACAAGGGGGCACCAAATACATATGCACCACACAATAACAATGAGGCAAGTAGCAATTATCATTGATTGATGTGAGGGCTATGATACTGCCGAGGTGCCCAAACCGAAGCAGGTGGTTTGCTTAGGGGTCCACACTCCGCTGTTTTATAAAGAAAAGTGATTAGAATATTTCTCAATTGTCAGTATGGGGATTTTTGTGCCCATGTGCACCATTGGTTCGGAATCAGGGTTTTCCAACTCCCCTAGGTGGACTCGCCTTGTCCACCAATCCGGTTAAAGCGCCGGACATCCGCTTCTCGTCCTCTCGATTTCGTAAACAACACCATACTCCGTCACGAGAAGTGAGTAGGACTTCCCTGACAGAGGCTATATACGCGTGGCCATGTGAGAGCATTTGGAGAGGGAGAGCGGACTCTCCCCACTCTCGGCTGTACCAGGGCATTTGGGGGAAAATAAGTGAATGATTAACTATCATATCTGTCTTGATAACCTAAACATATTGACTTATTTTCATTATCATCATAATTGAATAAGTTTAGCTAACAGATCATTATTTCTTTTTAAAACCATCTAGAATTCTTTTTCTATATTGAATAACAAAAAAATTAACTTAAAATATTCTAGAACTATCACTTTAGGTATTTAGAAAAAGTTTATACTTTATAATTAGACAGATTATTCGAATGAAAATTCCAAATTATAATGTAAATTAATTTAAAATGACTAAATTTATTAGCTTGCATAGCTAAAACAAAAAGTAACTAAAAATACCTAATGAATTTATTGTATTCTACAATGAATGTCGTATTCTTGTTTTATTTAATAACTTCGGATAGTTATATGATAGGATAACAAACATTGATCACATCAGCTGGGATCACTGGGTAAGTAATAGTGAGGTTAGACACACGGTATCGGGGAATGAAGGTTAATCAGTTGAGGTCATAAATCTTCATCGACTGAGATGGTTGAGCCACTCCGACCGTTGCTGCTACCTTGACGTGGTGGTCGGGCTTGCCTATCGTGATGATCCAATCGAGCTATGCTGGCTGAAACAATCGTTCCTCAAGGTCCTACCATGCCCGACAGGTCGGTTGAAGAGCGGTAAGATTAAAAGCAGCAAACCCAAGGTCCGAAGGCGAAGTCGTACTGCCGACTGTACAGAGGTGTGACGGCAGTAAGGTGTTTCCTTCAGACAACCAGCATGACAGCGATGCTGCCTTCCCACAAGGAGGGGTGGGGTTAGAAAAAGTCGACCCTAAAAATGCACACCTCGCCTTATCCCACGGATTTCCGTCTCCGGCGGTAAGGTCCTTTGAAGAACGGAGCTAACACTTCGAAAATCCCCCACAAAAAGGCCGTGCGTGACCGGCCTCAGGCAGTTGTCCCTTGGGCACTGCGGTCACGCTCCCAGGTCGTTATGACAAACATTAATCCAACTTCTTTTTCAGGTCCCTCAAGAAATACCCTTCCATGGTGTGGGCAGCCGGGAAGTGATAAATGCCCTCATACCCGTAACAGCACACGAGACCAAGTTGGTCACTTTCAAATCCTTCCTACACCTCCTAATAACTCTCTTATCTCCACGACTAACCCTTTCCACGTCCTTTTATCACCTTGCACGGCTAGGGCAAACGATTCGAGTACACAGAACGTTATTCCTGGTCTCCTGAAACCACGCTCTAAACTACATATAAGAACTTTTAATGTCCGAACATTGTGCCAAATAGGACAACAGGCTTCCTTAGCTAGGACTCTAGAATCTTACACCATCGATGTATGCTGCGTCTCCGAAACGCGCATACAAGATCCGAGTAGTGTCATTCATTTGACCTAACCTAATCAAAATAAAAAACCATCTCGATACACGCTTCGTGTATCTGGAAGCCCTGATGCTGCTTTCCGTGGCCCCGCTGGAGTAGGTATAGCATTAAGTCCTAGGGCAGAACTAGCTCTTTTAGACTGGATCCCAGTAGACAATCGTCTATGCGCTGTCCGACTAAACGGATCAGTAAGGACTCGGAAAGATAGGGAAACTCGTCGTTGCCTCTTCGTTGTCTTTGCCTACTCTCCCACTGACTGCAGCTCAGACGATATAAAAGATGAGTTCTACAGGAAACTTTCTGACCTTCTTCGAAAAGCTAGGCGTTCTGATGTAGTAATAGTAGCAGGTGACTTTAATGCTCAAGTAGGTAAACTAAGTGAAAGACACCTGGGTGGATCTTATGGTGTCGTGGCTAAAAGAACAGATAATGGCGACCGTCTGTTGCAGCTGTGCTCAGATAACCGCCTATTTCTTGCAAATACTAACTTTAAGCATAAGGAAAAACATCTTTTGACATGGCGACCCCCGAATTCGTCCCAACGTTGGACCCAATTAGATCACATCGCTATCAGCCACCGATGGAGGGGCTTGATAGAAGACTGTCGCTCATTCTGGAGCACATGTTTAGATTCAGATCACGCTCTAGTGCAAGCACGTATCTGTCTGCGTCTTACTGGTCGTAGGAAAGACACTGCAGGGAAGCCTCTAAGGGTTCTACTTAATGATAGGCAAGCTAAGAATATATTTCAGGAACAACTGGAAAAACAGTAAGACAGACATGTAGGTTGTGTCCGTCCCGAAGCAGCGTGGTATGACATCCGAAAAG